AATTATGCCAGGTGTCATTGGGAACCGCAGTTTACCTGATGGTATGATGACGCTACCGGAACGCAATGGCATGCAGCCATGTTCTGTCCCAAGATGATGTTGTATGTGGAGGGGACCTTCAATACCCAGAACTCCACTTGTTTTGTGTTACCTCCCTGCCTGACTGAAAGAATTATTTTGCGACAGGCCACTCTGGCATGGAGTTGAATCAATCAGGAAGGAAACTGCAGGCGCCAAGTCTTTGTGTTGCAGCTTCAGTTGTTTAAATGTGTCGAGTACATTGATCTCACATGAACTACCCTGGTCAATCAGAATCCGCTTGACGTCAAAATCTTTGACTCGGAGAGTGACAACCAGAGCATCATTGTGAGGACAGAATATTCGATCCAGGTCCTTATCCGAAAAAGACATGACGTTTGTTGCTCGTTTTCCCCTTCTTGATGGCAGGTTGGGCACTTAATACTCCCCTAAAGTGCTCAGCCTTCTTGATTGATCCTCTGAGCTCGCATACACGCTCAGGTTCAAAGACTCAATGTATTAATTGAATGATGCCTTGTGGGTGGGGCGTCGATCGGCATCCCATTGGGATGGTTATTTGATCTGTGGAGGGCTGGTTGCGTCCCTCCTTCAATATATTTGCCAAGTGGCCTGCTGCCACCAACTCTTCCAAGTGTTTGTCTTAACCGGTGTGCAATTCTCAAGTTCGGTGCCCCTTTTCTTTGTGGAAGGTGCAACGTGATCTGTCGTCGTAATCTTTCTGAGCTTCCCCTAGCTTGGCTTGGCACTTGACGAAGGCTCATCTTTTATTTCGCTCAGAATCCGATATATTGGTTTTTGAACACCGTTGTTATGGCAAGTGCGGATTCTCAACCATCTTTTTGTCTGGGTCTTCTCCGTTATCTCGTCTGCCACCGCCCGTTTCTATGTCTGCCGATTACATGTATTGACCTTTGCTGAGGTCTTCTTTTCTGGTACTGCGGTTTGTACAGGATTTTCTTTGCACGTGCGCCATCCTCTTCTACCCTGATATGCTGATGCACTCTTTCCATCAGGGCCTCCATGGTGGGGTGGCGTCATGGTAATCGAATCCCTTAGTCTGTTCCCTACTGGTAGGCCTCTTTTAATTTGCGCAATGGCTAGATTGTGGGGCAGTCTCAATCTGGTTGAATGTCTCCCAGTAGCGACTGTTGTAAGATCTGAGGGTCTCTTTTTCAACCCATGTCGATGAGAGTAACTGGTCTATCTCCACCGGTGTATTAGTATTTGTTCGAAACCTCGTACGACGCTTCTGCCAATTGGGCCCAGAGGCTATGCTGACCCTCTGGGAGCTTTCGAACCAAGTCAAGCCTAGGTCGCCAAGACTTGACGGGAAGAGTATGCACATTAAGGCTCGTTTCGCCTGTACACAGCCATGACTTGGCGAAAGTGGCTCAGGTGTGAATACGGGTCCGTCTTCCCTTCATATGTATTGAATTTCGGCTGAAGGAACCTGATGGTATGGGGTGCGTTTTCGATGCTGGAACGTTGGGACAAACGGCGAAGTCTGTAGTCTTGCCAATGCCTTGTCTGTTGGTTCGTAGGCCGGTCGCGGTATTGGCATTCCAACCTCGACGCTTCCATGCGTCCGAGGAGCCAACCGTTGTAAGGCCGAAACTCGGTGTGGATCCCTTGCCCTGGCATCCTCCTTGCATCGTGCTTTTTCTTCGAGCACGGTTCGTAAGTCGGATGACCTGGGCAGCTCTGTTTGTCTAGATCTGGTTTGGTGTGAATGTGAAGGCCAATACGTGCTTCCTTCAGTGTATGATCTTTCGGATCTCGTCTTCTCAGACCTGGAGTGACGAGTCCTGGAAGATAAGGAATGAGTGTCGCCTGTCCTGAGGCTTCTGCTCCTTCCTTGGGAGGGTGTAGTATTCCTACTATGATTCTCTGAGTGGCGAGGGGGCGTCTTGTGCTTGCGCCCCTCTCCTATCGCCACATCTTTAGTTTTCATCTGGCGTTTCAAAGCCTCCATGTCCGCCGCCATCTTCCGAATTAGTTCATCTTGCTCCTTCACGCGATCTTCCAGGGCTTGAGGATCAATCCTCCTCCTTTTCCTGTCAGGACTTTGAGAGTGACGAGGCCTGTTATTCAGCCTTCCCCTGCCACTCCTCCTGGAGTTATGTTGTTGGGGCTCCAGATCTGCCATAGGAGGGACAGAGGGTAATCCTTCTCGCCTTGCGCCCCCGTCTGGAGTTAGCCCATCAACGGCGGACTGCGGTAGTTCTTCAATGTGTGCCATTGATTGAAAAAAAAGGAGAAGCTTAGTCAAGAGGTTTTTGTTCTTGTCTGTATGTTCCCACAGACAGCGCCAATTGTACGGGGAGGAAATAATTCTCCTCGTATAATCCTGTTGACCAAGTCCACGCTCCTCCGTACGACGGCGCTTTATCACCTGAAAACACAAACGTGAGCTAGCCGACGGGTGTGTGCCGGAAACCTCTCCGATGCCTAAGTCAGAAAACTTGACAAATTGACAAAGCTCAATGTATTCAGAAAGCAAAATTGTATGTTGTGTTCTGTTATCTCCTCCAAGGTGATGCTTGTGAGCTTTTATAGGTTTCGAGTGGCACAATCCTAGTAGGACTTTTATTTCTCCATGCAGAGTCCTCCTAGGATTCATACTCCTAAAGGATAATGCTTATCCTTTTACACCCCCTCCCCACTGCTTAAACCAAATGGGATGGTTTTCACTATGGCCGAACTATCACGCGACCGAAGTAAAAACTGGCTATGCTGAGCTACAAAGAAGGCCGAACTATCCTCAGCTTGGTTTTCTCCTCCTACTCCTTATCTCGGCTTTCTCCTGTTCAACCATGGTGTGTTTAGACCAAGCTTCCAAGTAGCAAGCTCTGACCGATTTATCCATAATGTGTCACGACCGGACTAAATGTAAGGCCGGACTTACTTCAAACTGCCACCGGACCGGAGTTGCTTTACACATTCTTGAACCGGAGTAACCACACCTTTCCTGGTCCGGAATAACTTCACTTCTCCTGGGCCGAAGTAACATTACGGCTTCTTACCGATTCCTTCACACTTTGGGCCGCAGGGCCCAACTCACAGCTCGGCCCAATTCTTTCCCAAAAATTACCCTCTCATATATATATATATATATATTTGGATGCTAGTTTTAGTATAATAATTTGGTATTATAATTGTGGTTGTTTGATTGGAGATTTCAATATAGAATCGTATTAATTTCCTTGAATCAATTTCATAACTACATTGTTCATATGTGTGCAATCAGTTTTAGTATTTCAAAGAATTCATGATTTTACTAAAACAATTAGTAGATACAAATAGGAATATCATATATATTCATAAGGCTATTTACTTGTGAAATTATATTTGTTTTTACCAATAGTATTCAAGAACGATTTATAAATAATAAAAAGAAATTAATTGCACAACCAAATTGGAGATCAATTGATTACTAATTGTTTGGCTACATGTTTTGAAAATAATTAATGTATTATTTGATAGCAATAATAGTAAGACGATTGTGTAGAATTTTATATATTTACAATTTTTTTTGGGGGGGGTAAAAAATATTAGTACAAATGTATTAAAGTTTTCATTTTTTTTATTTGAGAATTGAAATTAAAGGTTTTTCTATATAAAATCCGACTTGTATTATATTTAAGTCTTAAGGATATTCTACAAATCTAAAAAGATCATGTAGTTATGCAAAAGATAAAAAATTTATACAAAAATAAAATAAAATAGATAAATAAATAAATTGATGTAATGTAATGTAATGTATTAAAGTTTTCATTTTTTTGTTTTATTTGAGAATTGATATTAAAGGTTTTTCTATATAAATCCAATTTGTACTATATTTAAGACTTAAAGATATTCTACAAATCGAAAAAGATCATGTAATTATGCTAAAGATAAAAAAACTCATGTTAAAAAACAATTTGTAATGTAATACTAATAAAGGAAACAAAACTTATATTTAATGAGAAAATCTCGATAATTAGAGTACTTAATTCATTTGGATCAAATTTTGGATTTTTTTGAGTATGTTTGATAAGTTATTATTTTTTTTTTGTTTATTATGAAAAGATATGTGTAAAGAAATAGAGAGATATTGTGATCCAAGTAAAATAATAAACTAATATACAGTTGTTAGCATCACATTTTATTTTTTTGTCGATTGTGACCTATTAATTATGGCCAAATTGAATTATGGTATGTCGATTGAAATTATAGATTATTTTTAAAGAATAACATTAACCACATTTGTTTTTATTATTTCTATCAATAGGTATGCTGACATGACGTGACAAGTATACTAATATCGTGGCACGTAAGAGATGATAATATGACTTGAAAATATTAAATAAAGCCAATAAAGATATTTGTTGAAATCAATTAGAAACCATATGGTAAAATCGGGGAGATCAATATTAAGTCAAAGCACAAAATCTGCAAGTAGTTCCTATGAAGATATGAGATATGGTTAAGTGAAGTAAAGATCAAGGAAGATCATGGATTGATAGCTATAACATGAGGTGGCTAAGTAAGTATAAAAGGAGGACTTCAAAAATGAAAAAAGGACAACTCAACAATCATCAACAATACTCGTAAAAAGTTTATCTAGGAGTAGATTAACTTAGCATTTTTAAGAGTAGAATGGTAATAGTTTTCTCCAACCCCCCACTTTTCTTCTTTCTTTCTATCCATTGGTGTATTTTTCACTTTTTTTGGGCTTGTTATAGTTCTTGTAATTAAAAGAAATGACAATTTGATTAAATAAATACATTTCAGTACATATATTTTAATAAATCTAATGTTTTTTAGAAGATAAGTATCTATAATTTGAAATACTAAGGTGTTATTTGTCTCTCTCTCTCTAGAGTGGAGGTTTTGTCCTCTCTCTCTCTGTAGGGGAGGTTCTTCTTGCTGTGTGCAAGTTTTTTCTTCTGATAGAAGGTGGCGGAGGTGGTACTGACACGATGGCGGATTCCCTTGTCGACCTTACTCGTACGCTATCTCTCACTTCGGAGGAGGACGCAGTTGTAAGGATTGGAGGGGATTCTACAAGCTTGATGATGGGCAAATCGGATATGTGTCTTGTTGGCAAGTTACTCACTCGTAGGCCGTTTAATGTCGAAGCCATGAAGAATACCCTGCTCTCGGTGTGGCAACCCACTAAAGGAATGCAAGTTCGGGTCATTGGGGACAACCTGTTTGTGTTCGTGTTTGGTCATGTTGTGGATAAACGGAGAGTCTTATCGAACGGCCCTTGGACATTCGACAAGCATCTTCTAATGTTGGGCGAGATGGATCCCAACGTTCAACCATCTGACATTCAATTAACAGGGGTGCAATTCTGGGTGCATGTTTGCAATCTTCCGCTAGTTCTGATGAATAAACAGGTTGGACAAATAGTTGGCAACGCTGTTGGCCAATTTATTGATATGGATTATGAAGATGGTGGCATTGCATGGGGCCGAACAATGCGAATTCGGGTGGCCATTGATGTTCGAAAGCCCCTACGACGGGGGATGAAATTGGCTTTGTCCTCTGCCGACCCAATCTGGGTGGACTTCAAATATGAGCGTCTCCCGATCTATTGCTATTTTTGCGGAAGGCTCGGCCACAGCGACCGGGAGTGTGATGATAAACTATCCTTTGCCGATGGCACTCGGGTTGATAGTTTGCAATATGGGGCATGGTTGAGGATGGATAATATCAAAAGTAAGGGGTCTCGTCGCGCTGGTTCGATTGACAAAGGAGTAGGGGGGACGCATCCTGGTGGGCAGGGGATACCGATGCGGACGAATCATGCACAGATGAATCAGGAGGAGGGGGCACCTCTGCGTGCTTCGCCAACCCGTGCTCCGGTGGAAGCCGACAGGCGTCGGGATAGGAAAGAAATCAGTGGACAATCTCTGACCCCCGTGATTGAGGGCGCTGGTCAAGGAACCGCGGTATATGAGGCTACAATCTCGGGAAGTAACATATCTCCACCCACATCTAGTGGATTTGAATATTTGCATGGGCGGGAAGTTATTGAAAATGCAGGGCTGGGGCATCAATCTCAGACATCCAGATTGGGCCTAGATGGGGCCAAGCCCACGGTAATTGTGTCCGGTGTGGGGGCCCAGCTGCCTTCCATGGATCCTATTCTTCAGATGGAGGTGGAGGATAGCTCACTAAGTGACTCGGTGATGCACAAAAAGAAATGGAAACGGGTGGCACGTCAGCATATGGATTCCATTAAGGCCCACTCCCCTGTTACGGGGTCTAAGAGAGTGATTGAGGAGGTAGGAGTTCAGGATGGGAATCTGAGTGATGAAACCTTGGTTGTGAAGAATGGGAAACGCTTGTGTGTGCATGAGGGTGTTGACAGCAACCCACATAACAATATTCCAACGGTGGAGGCTGATATTCAGCCCCGCCGATCCCAATGAATGTGGTATGTTGGAACTGCCGCGGGCTTGGGAACCCACGGTCAGTTCGATCTCTTCAGTTTCTACTGAAGAGGGAAGTTCCTGGGCTGGTTTTTCTCATGGAAACCAAGCTCGATTCGAAGCACATGGATGGGATTCGGCAAAAACTGGGTTTTTGTGGTGGTTTTTATGTTAACCGAGTTGGACTTGCAGGCGGACTTGCTTTGATTTGGAAAGAAGGTATCCAAGTTAGTGTGAAGAGTTATTCGGTTGGTCATATTGATGTTTTTGTAGACGCTGGTTTGGGGGAACAATCTTGGCGATTTACGGGATTTTACGGACACCCGGAAACGGCTCAACGAAAAACATCTTGGGAATTATTGCGTAAACTATCAACATGCTTCCAAATGCCTTGGCTTTGTGCGGGGGATTTCAATGAAATTCTGTTTAGCCGTGAGAAGTGTGGTGCCATGGGGCGTAGTCCATCCCAAATGGAACATTTTCGGAATGTGATCGCAGATGCACACTTGGCTGATCTGGGATTTGTGGGGCCAATTTTCACTTGGTCTAATAACCGCGGTGGCCAAGCGTTGGTTCGGGAGCGATTGGACCGTGGGTTTGCTAATGATGCTTGGCAACTCTTGTTTCCACATGCAAAGGTTTATCCTATAGCGTGTACATCCTCGGATCACCTACCGATTTGTGTTGACATTTGTGGGGCTAAAGATCAACGTCAATCTCCTGCTAGTGGCCATCGCATGTATCGGTTCGAAGCTATGTGGTTACGACATGCAAGTTGTGAGCAAATAGTTGCTGATAATTGGATGAATTCTTCTAATGCGGATGTTCGACATTTGGTATCTAATATTACAAGAGTAAGTTCTTCGTTGCGACTATGGGATCGCAATGTTTTTGGGTGTGTAAAGCGACAGTTAAAGGAGAAAACCGATCAATTACAGCGGCTACTTACGCAACAGTTCATTTTTCCGAACGCCGCTGCAGAAATGGGTAGGCTACGTTGTGATATTGATGAGATTTTGGATCGGGAATCTATTTTTTGGGGACAACGTGCTCGAGCTAATTGGCTTAAGGATGGGGACCGTAATACTTCGTTTTTTCATTCCAAGGCCACTCAACGTCATAAGAAGAAGAAAATTGCTGGCATTGTGGATCATAATGGCTTTTGGCAGGAGGATCAACGAGTGGTGGAGGACAGTTTTGTGAAATATTTTCAGGAATTATTTTCGGCAGGTGAGGAACTGAACATGGGGCCAGTTCTGCAGTTGATTCAGGCTAGAGTTCCCGCTCACAGTGCATCTCATTTGAGTAGACCATTTTGTGAAGTTGAGCTCCACCATGCGCTATTCCAAATGCATCCAACAAAGGCTCCCGGGCCCGATGGTAAGCCTGCTTTATTTTTTCAAAAATTTTGGCCAGTGGTGGGTCCTAGTGTGACTTCTGCGGTGCTTGGGGTATTGAATGGGGTTGATGAGATTTCACATATTAATCATACTTTCATTGTGTTGATTCCTAAAATTAAGCACCCAAAGCTCATGACAGAATTTCGGCCAATTAGTTTGTGTAATGTTGTTTATAAAATAATTGCAAAAATGTTGGCCAATCGCCTTAAAGAGGTGTTGCCTTCTGTAATTTCCGACACTCAAAGTGCGTTTATTCCTGGCCGCCTCATTACTGATAACGCGTTGGTGGCATTTGAAGTGTTCCATTTTCTTAAGCATAAGAGGGCCGGAAAGGATGGCTGTCTGGCCTTAAAACTTGATATGAGCAAAGCCTATGACCGAGTGGAATGGCCATTTATTAATCAGATGATGCTCCTCTTAGGTTTTCCGCAAAGGTTTGTGCAACTTCTTATGAATTGTGTGTCCACTGTTTCTTTTTCAGTGCTTATTAATGGAAAGCCTTCTAGCATGTTTTACCCAACAAGGGGCCTCCGCCAAGGGGACCCGCTTTCCCCTTATCTGTTTACTATTTGTGCGGAAGGATTGTCGGCACTTCTCGGCCATGCTATGGCAGCTAACAGGTTGTCCGGAATTTCAATTTGCCGTGGTAGTCCGCGCTTGTCACATTTATTTTTTGCCGATGACAGTCTTCTATTTGCGGCTGCTAAGGAAGGTGAGGCGGGTGTCCTGAGAGATATTCTCAAAACGTATGAACAAGCATCGGGGCAAAAAATTAATCTTCAAAAATCGGCTGTTTGCTTTAGTAAAAATACGGACTTGGTTACTCAGCGAGTGGTGACATCTATTCTAGGGGTGGGGGCATTGGAGCCGTATGGGAAGTATTTGGGATTACCATATTGTGTGGGGCATTCTAAGCGCGCCGTTTTGGGGTTTGTTAAGGAGCGAGTATGGTCTCGGTTAAATGGTTGGAAGGAAAAATCGTTATCGGTGGCGGGTAGAGAGGTCCTCATTAAGTCTGTTGCTCAAGCCATACCCACTTATCTTATGTCCTGCTTCCGCCTCCCAGATGGAGTGTGCCATGAAATTGAGTCTATGGTGAGTAACTTTTGGTGGGGACAAAGAGAGGAAACCCGTAAAATTCATTGGACTAGCTGGAAACAATTGTGTAAATCTAAATTATGTGGTGGTATGGGATTTCGGTGCCTTCAACATTTCAATTCAGCTTTGCTGGCCAAACAGTGTTGGCGACTACTGCAACGGCCTCAATCTTTGGTTGCGCGGGTCCTTAAGGCTAGGTATTTCCCACAAACTTCATTTCTCGATGCTTTGGTCGGGAGTAACCCATCATTCACCTGGAGGAGTATTGTCGGATCTCGAACATTATTAAATGCTGGGCTTCGATGGCGAGTTGGAAATGGTGAAAGCATCTCGGTTAGGTACGATAAATGGGTTCCAAGGCCTCACTCCTTTAAAATAATTTTGCCACCTTCGAATCTTCCGGATGATGCGCGGGTTAGTGATTTAATTGATCCTGAGAAGGGAGCATGGTATGATGAGATGCTTACGCAAAATTTCTTGGGCATGGATGTGGAGGCTATCCGATGTATTCCTCTTTGTCCCACGTTACCCTCGGATCAATTGGTCTGGCATTTTTCCCGAAATGGTGAATTTTCAGTACGATCGGCATACCACTTGTCTATGGATCTGGCCTCTGTGGATGGCCACGGTGATACCTCCACTAATGGGCAGTCGCATAAGCAGTTCTGGCGAGGTTTTTGGCAGCTTAATTTACCGACCAAACTAAAGATATTTGGATGGAAAATGTGCCTTGGGTTGTTAGCGGTAAGGGCCAATCTGAGGCAACGTCATATCGTCAATATGGACTTATGTCCTTGGTGTGGAGTGGAGACTGAAACGGTAGGCCATTGTTTTCACAATTGTGACTTTGCCATGAAAGTGTGGCGATCGAGCTCACTTAATTTGCTTATCAAATCCAATCCTGTTCACAATTGCTTTGAGTGGGTATATCAACTCATGGCCACAATTGGTCCAGAATCCATGCAATTATTTGTGGCTATTTGTTGGAGCCTTTGGAATAATAGAAACTCCATTCTGTTTGGCAACAATTCAAGGACGGTGGAGGAAGTTGTTTCTTTCGCGGTAAATTATGTTTCCGAATATGCTCAAGCTCAAGACCGTGGCCATCTTCCTCCGGCCCAGGTTCGGATGCGAAGGTGGGTTGCGCCACGCGAGGGTGTCTTCAAATTGAACTTTGATGGCTCTGTTAGGAAGGCCCATGCCAGTGCTGGGGTTGGCATTATTATTCGGGACTGTCATGGGGAAGTCATTGCGTCTATGGTTGAGCGGCTACAGTATATGGAGGACGTTGATTGTGTGGAAGCTATGGGAGCGATAAAAGCCCTTCAATTGGCTTGTGATTTGGGATTGGGCCATATTCATCTGGAAGGTGACTCTCAAAATGTGGTGGCTGCAATTCAAGGTAAGGCGGATAACCTCTCTTGCTATGGTCATTTTGTGGGGGTGGCTCAAGCGCTCCTTTTGCGGTTTCCTTCTTCATCGGTTTCGCATGTTTGTCGGGATGGCAATTCGGTGGCTCATTGTTTAAGTAGGTTAGCCTTTGATTTTGAGACGCCACGTATTTGGATGGAGGAGGTTCCTCCTTCTTTAATGGCGTTGGTGATGTCTGAGGCGTCTTCCTCTGTGTAATTGCTTATCCTCTCTAAAAAAAAAAATAAATAAATAAATTAAGGTATTTGTGTTAAGGGATTTTAGTTTAAGATCCTTGATAATAAAATTTTATAAGATAAATGACATACAATATTTTTATAGGGAAAATTGGTCTAGGCTCCCTCTCCCACTTTTCGTAATGGAAGAGATCCACGATATTATTTTTTGATATCTAAGGTCCCTCCCATCTATCACAGAGAAATTCAGCCCCTTTCCTTTTCTCTACTCTCACTCATCACCGTGATCAAACACGCACACACAAATATATACATATATATATATATATATATATATGTAAATATATGATAATTAATAAAGTTGTGACCACTGGAAAAAGTGGCATGTACCCGTCCAATGCTAAAGGTAATGACAATTCATTTCTCTATTAAGAATAAGGGGGAAAAAATTCTATTTTACCTCATTATGGTATAACTTAATAGCACTTTTTATATTAAAATGCAACTTCAACTCTGTTAATGTTAACAATAAAAAGATAATTATACCCTTTATGTCTTTTTATTTTTCTAATTTTGGTTTTGTTTCTAAATAAATAAATAAATTTACCTCCATGATTAAGTCAAAAAAACAAAAAATTAAAGTCATAACACAAAAATATGTAAGGAACTAGAGTTTCCCAAATATTTTTTTAACAAACTTAATTTTTAATTTTAATTAGTTATTATGATATATATACGTATATATATACCCTATCTATATAGACACTGTAATTAATTTATGATTTAATTCATTATATATATGTGAAATTTCAAATGTTATTAAATAGTAAATTAGGTTAGAAATTAAAAATTAGATGAAGGTTTTATGGTACTAAATTAAGTTATTTACGTTAAT